AGTAGTTTGATGGAGAGTGATGATGGTCGGGAGTCAGAGCCAATGGTTGCCATCATGAACAGAATACTGATGAAGCTCCTCTCTAACATTTACCAGGGCATGAGCGTGCGCCCATATGATTTTTTTTTGGTTCATGTCTCTTTACTTAGCACATCGTATCTAATTCATACTTCATATCCATATCACACCAATGAATTTCATTTAGTGGCAGTTAAGTGGCCCTGCTGTTTCATTACCGTGCTTAAGAATCTACTCATGTTCAGCAATGACATTTTGCAGTTTGACAAATGAGAGGATGAAGACAGCACACAAAGAGGAGTGAGAGACCACATTCACCACATTACTGTGATCGATTCCCTATTCTCCCAGCCTCTCTGATAATAAATAATCTCTCTATCATTAAGGCTAAAACTACAACATTAAAGAGGGTCAGAGTTAGAGTTGAAGGACAGAGAGGAGTGACAATGAGTCATGGATAATTGTGAAGAAAAAAATAACCATGGCACTCTGGTGCTACCCTACCCTATTTATCTCACTTCCCACACAGACGCACGAACGCACATATACACATAACACACACACACACACACACGCTCCTCATTGGCTTTTTTTTTAAAGCCCTGACAGGCTCAGAGGGAGGCTCTTATTTGTTACCATGGAGACCCAAACCCTGAGAATCCTAATATGAAGCCAAGAAGTCTCACTTCACCTATAGTGTTTACGGGCTATTAAATCATTCATACTTTGTTGCTTCCAGTAACAATATTATTTCATTTCCTTTGTTATGTAGTGCAAATTAAGTGAGACCCCCAAGGAACGGAGGGTAAAGCCAAATCACACAAATGTTCATGCATGCAGAGCAAAAGAAGCGAGTGATTTTCATGCTCGTGTTCGCTGCAATTTCACCTACAAAGGAATGAGAAAAGCCTGTGCAGCTTATTTGCACACATATTGATCAATCTCTTTGCTATACAGGAACAATGCGTCTGTGTTCATCTCTGTCCTTTTCCCTGGCATTGTGACTGCGTCTCTACCTGTGAAAGGAGTGTCCGCTGGGAAATAAAACGTAACAGTCAAATGTCAAAGAGGCCCTGCGATGCCTGTGACCAACGTCCCCTCCATCCTGCTGAGCATTACCTGTCTACTCACTGCTTATGGAAGTAAATAAATGTGTGATATTCAGCATTCTCAATCAATAATGAACTAAAATGCTACAGAATTGCTAATGCTGGCTTTAAATGTGACAATAGTGTTTCAATCAAAGAGATGTGCCTTTAACAGAATAGTTTGACATTTTGGGAATTCTTTGATGAGAGTTAGATGAGAAGATTGATATCTGTCAGTAATATATAAAGCTACAGCCAGGAGTCCATCAGCTTAGCTAAACATATAGCCTGAAATCGGGGAAACACATATCCTGACTCTGTCCAAAGGTAAAAAAAATAAATAAATAAAAAATCAGCCTGCCAGAACCTCTAAAGATCATTAATTATCACACATCCTGTTTGTTTAACTTGTACGAAGACTGCAGTGTGAAAACATCACATGGTTTTACGGAGGGAGGGTTATGTGGGTGTGTGGGTTATGTGCCAGACTACTTCTTGGCTGGGATAAGTAACTTCTTGGAGTCTTCACTGGTTGCCATTCATGTTTTTACACTTCAAAATATGGGTGAAATAAACCAGATACATTGTGTCAATTAGTGAGCTTTAGAGATATTGGTAGGCTGATATTGTCACCTCTGGAACGAGCAAGGCTATCTGTTTCCTCCTGTTTCCAGTCTTTGTGCTAAGCTAAGCTAATCGTACCCTAGCTTCATATTTAACAGACAGAGTTGTCACTTTCTCACCTCAGTTTATTTTTTCAAAATGTTTACAACTATTTAAAACTATTCTTTAAATTTTTATTGGAAACAGAAAAGGTAAACAGTGTCGTGTAGGACACAGTCTTCTGGACTCTGTTTACTTGCAGTGGTTTAACCTCTCGCCTCACTGCAGTGATGTCAGTACATTGTGACATCACTGTTGGTTGTGGTTACAGGAGCAGATTTCAACCCTTCAACCAGAGACGGCAGTGAAGCGACACTTTTCAGCCTGGTTTTAAGTTACTTTTAAAAGACCTGAGCTAAAATGGATTTTAGAGGAGAGGCCCATCAACTGCCAACGGTAGTGTTTTTTTCTTTTTTTTTTCTTTCATATAACTCAGAGAGAAATCACTGTTTATTAAGGTGCTAGACTTGATATTTCAAAGATGTGACAGAACTATAAGCACCATCCTGAAAAGATTTTAAGCCCAGTTTTGCTGCTTTGCTGCTGGGAACTAGTGCAACACAAGAATATACTGTACAGTAAAGTCGAGATATATTTAGACTCCGGTAACTGTAGCACTGTTGGCTATGCAAACGGCGGCAAGAAACGCTGTTGTCTTGACAATGACATGTTTCCAGTATGTCACAGTTTTGCTTTCCTGTTTCTTTTATCTCTGTATCCAGCAGGTTTGAGTAAAGGCGAACAGGAGAGGGGGAAAAGCAGCAGAGGAAACATCGATACTCAGTCTGACAGACCAAACTAGATTTCCCTCTGTGTGTGACACACTCTTATTGATTCACATACAAACAAGTCAAAGGGGTTGGCACAACAGAAACACAGCTCTCTTGCTATACAACCAGAAAAGAATTGGATTGTATTCAAATAGATCGAAATTTAGACCTAATGTATTCTGAAAGGAAAAGCTTTACTGGAGACTTGCAATCCTGTTTATTTCAAAACAAAAAACTGCATTTCTTTCCTTCCTCTCCGTGCTTTCATTCCATCTCCAAACTCTCCTTGTGTTTCTAATCCCTTCCTTGACGACAGGTGATATCAGCTAAGGCCTCCTGTGACTCCACCAGCTGACAAATCAAATCCAAATGGATATGGAGGAGCTCAAGGAAAAAGTGAGTCAGGTGTGTTTAGCGCCATGAGAAGGGTTTTGTGTTAGCCCTTTGATTAACCCCAGAAAGAGTTGCCTCTGCTGTTATTTTCATTGGACCCCATTTAGTGTAGATATATTGGGTGGAGCTCACACATACACACCCAACTGCATGTGTCCACTCTAAACTGACAGATGGGTAGAGGAAATTACATCTACGCCGAGTGCCCTGCGACATAACTACCCCTGCTCTCCTCTGCTATTATTACGAAATGAGTCATAGTGTTCTTCTCTGTATCCAAGTGTGTGTGCCTGCCTTTGTGTATAAGGTGACTATCACAATGACTGTAAGGGGCAGCTGGCTCAGTGCAGCCTGCTAGGATGCCGTGGCAAAGGCCATGTCAGATGCCTGGTCCAGGAGCCTGGGGCCCGCAGCTAATACCTGTCAAATCATAGCACACACAGAGTGTGACATGAGTGAGGGGAGCTCAGATCTGAGCTGCAGCAACCTGGCATGCGCATGTATATGGGTGTGGGTGTTGGTGATGTATGTGTTTTGGAAAGTGGTTTAAGTGTGAGAATGGTTGTTTTGGTACAATACACCAGACAAATTCAAAATAAAAAATTGAAATTTCTCTATAAACAAATCAATACAAATAGAATAAAATACTTTTTTTGGGTGGCATAATAACAGTTGGATGTACTCTAGGTTTTATGTTATGCTGTCACTTATGTACATTGTTTTATCAGTTAGCCAGAACAAGTCTGTGTTCTGTGATTTAATTGGCAGCAAGACAAATTTCCATTTGGGGACAATAAAGTTGACAAAGTTGAAGCGCATAAACAGTCAACAGGTTGGAGCTGAGGTAGTTTATTTTCTCAAGCCAAGTTGAATCATCTTTTTTCATTAATAATAAATGTAACAGATTGAATAAATAACATGACTGCAGGAGAAAATAATTCACTTAATATATTCAATTAAGTATTATATCTGGGTTTATGATATCAGGAGCAGGAGAGTGAATGGGTGACTATTTATTTAAGGGTACTTTAACAGACGTATTACTGTAAATCAAGATAAGTGTTTCCAGCATTGGCTGGATAAAGATGATTTCTCCTGCATGAATCCACAAAGCAAAGGCTGCAAAAATTTAAAAAGTAGAAAGAACCTGCTCCTCTTATCACCTAATTGAATTGAACTGACTGAACAGTTGTCGTGAACATTTTGGAAAAATAAATAAATACGCAAACAAATCGAGGCTGCAGCAGTTTGTATGTCCATAATTCTGTCAGGGTCTAGTTTTTCATCAGAGTATGTAGACATATTAACACTGACACTGATCTACTCTACAGATGTAAAATGATTTTGAATTTTTACAAAGTGGTGGAGGAATGTGCATACAGACTATATTTTCAGATTAATGAACATGAAACTAACACCTGACTAATAACAGAGGGACGATGAAGATGCAGGATGAAAAGCTATCATGAATAGCCATTTTGGATGAAAGCTGACCAAAAGTTTCACCCAACTTACAGTGACCTTTGTATGAAAGGTAGGTAGGCTCATATGAGTAAAGCTCATATAAGACTGATCTGATAAACCCGGAGCATCAGAAATGAAAATGAGCATCAAGGACGACAGTCAGTCGTTTTATCCCCTGTAGTGTGACATGGTGGATATCAACCAGTGTCGCATCTGGGGCGCCACATGATGCACCAACACAAAGATTGGCATGCCATGATTATTTTCCGCCACTGTTGTCCAAGTTTGACGATGTTCCCTATTTCCCAACGATTTTAATTCCTCCTGATTTGTTTCCCAGTCCCTCGCTCTCCCAGTATAGAACAGGACTAAAAGTGTGTAGCGTGCGGAACAGAGCGTGTTAAGAGGTGATTGTGTAGTCTGACTTAGGACAAGTGCTCACTCATGAGCTCATTCAATCTGTGCAGATGTTCTCATGAATCTCAACGTTTAAAGAACTTTGAAACACCCTGTGACTGAAAATAGACGCAGATGTTTTAGATGCATGCAGTGTTGAGATGTGCGCAGTTAGTGTGTGGGGTGTTGGAGGGTTTAGTCTACTCACTGATCTCCAGCTGTCTCTGAATGCGTCCCTTGCAGCGCTCCCTGTAGTCTGACTGGGTGGTGTTGTATTCTGACATCACCTCGACAAACTTACGGGACAGTGTGGAGTGCTGGAGATACAGTGAGGAACAACAAAACATTTCACTGAAACCTGCTCCATGCCAGCAGTAAACACACTCACACTTTAATTGGATAGTCGGCCTTCAGAGAGTCTAGAGAGTATTTGTAACATTTCAACAGGTTATTAGCTGAGATTCAACAATTCAACTGTTTCGCTCACCCTTACCCTCACTGCTGAATGTTTTACTAGTTGTTGGTTGAATGTTTGTATGATTGTTAATGTGATATTAATATGATATATATGTATTAAAATGTTCATTGTTGAACATTAGTTTAACATTAAATACACTATAGGAGGACTATCCAAATAAAGTGTAACCATAGACACTAACTTAATCAATTCTCTAAATGCTGAACGGACACGGGGTGGGCAGGTGCAAATGGTATATTCCAGTACATAGTGTATTCACACTGAAAAAAATGACAAAAATGAGTCATACTCAAAGCAGTCGTTGATGGTCACTATTGTCCCATAATGCAATTCTCAGAGAACATGGAAGAGCAGCTCACAGCTGCAAATTTCAAACAAACTGCAGGTAGTAATGAGAAAGCTCCATTTAGCTTTTTCTTGGTGTTCTTACTAGTACAGTTAGTATTATACATACTGTTCACAATTGTTCTGCAGTATACAATTGGGACACAGTTGTTGACTCTGCTGCTTTCCCTCCTGAACCGTACCTGTGTTTTACGTATCCTCAGGTCAGCTGATGACCTGTTCTGCCCTTCCTCTTGCTCAATGGTGTGCTGGATACCTGGACAGATACACAAAAATATTCATTCAATCACCTGGTGAAAACTGGTTCTTAAAGATTAACAGCAAGAACACCAAATAAAGTTATGAGATACAGTGCTTTATTTTGTGTGCACAGCTGACATTTTGACTTGAGGGTGGTGTAAGAAAAATGATCGGGGGGGTCATCAGAAACATATCTCTTCGATCTCAGGACACAATGAATTTTCACAGTAAACTTCATAGAAATCCAGCCATTTGTTTTTGAGAGATACCCTGCCATGTGTTTGTCAAGGAAAGGTTTGAACAGATGGTTGCAGTAATAATCATTATCGATAATCCTCCGGAGGGCATGAATATACCTATCAGATTTGATGGTAATCTGGCCAGTAGTTGTCACGACGTCTCGCTCTGAACCAAAGTGTTGGACGCACACAGAGAGAGAAAGATCGTCAGACCATATAACTGATCTGATATATGACCTGATCTATATAAAACTACAATTACAGTCAGAAGGGCTATTATGTTTCAGTATAATAATATAAATATTATACTTAGAGTGTCACAAATATTAAGTAATCACACATCAAATCAGTCACTCAGATGGAAAGGGAAAAACTGGAAATGTGGTAAAGGGCTGACTATTAAGACATTTATTTTAAGTATAAATTACTGGGATAACTCTGCTCTTTTATTTCTTCTGCAATTTCTAATGCAACTTTTGCCTGACTGCTGCTTCAAAGTCACACCTGAGGAAGTCACTGCCGAGCATAATAAATTAAAGAGACTGTCAATGTTAGGTGATGAGAAGTACTCAATCAACTACTGAATTCTGTGACATGTAAGAGCTGGCTCATTTGCATTCCCATTTTTCTGTAATTTCAAGTGGGATGAGATGGCTGTACCAGCTCCTGCACATTCAGGGGCATTGCTTTTTCTGTATATACTGTGCAGCTCCCTGTTGAGCTGGCAGGTTAAACAGGTACAACAGAATATCACAGCTGATCGGGCGTGTGAGGAAAGAAATTTCAAGTTCGGGAATATATTCATGTGTCATACGTGCAATGATTCGGCAATCTCTGAAAAACATGAGAATTTAACATAACTTTATTCAACGTTAACGTCTGTGCATTGTTCCATCTGGTTCGATCCAGCCACTGGGGGTTGCTTTTTTTAGCACATGTTCTTTAAGCCCCTTAGCAACAACTGTATATTGTTTGAATGTGAAAACCCAGGAGCGTCCCTCCATTGCAACAGTCTAAACTTTGTATATCACAAAGCACATTATTATATTGTGATTGTTCCAGGAAAAGACACAGTGGTTTAGATTTACTTTAATGTGTTTTGCAATATCAGCACTTTTGAAAGAATGTTGAATGAGATTCATTGCATTAATATTGTCCTTAAACCCATTCCTTACTCACTTACACAAACACAAATGCATTTACGCACCCAAACACACACCCAGCAAGTGGTTACACAAAGGTATCCTGTGGCAACAACTGATGTGAACTGGAGCGACACAGTTAGAGGCCTGTGATGCAGAGCCTGTTCTGCCTGATAGCCCTTGTGTCAAGTGTGTGTATCAATGTACATACAGTATATGCAATAACTGCCACTGTGTGTGTGTGTGTGTGTGTGTGTGTGATACATGTGTATATCAGTGGGCACACAGGATGAGGGATGGAGGCTATTATCTCCCAGCCCTCTGCAATGAAGTTGTGTTCTACTTTCCTAAGATACTGTATAGACCTACAGGTATTTATCTCTGACCCCTATTCGACAGCTGCAACAGCAGAAGATGACTCATGTGAGGAAGTTTTCATGCCACAGGATTTCAGGAAGGGCACATGAATATACAAAAAAAAAAAATCACATAAGCCAGAAGAGGAAATTAAAAAGGGATTAAAAAGTGCTGTAAATTTATGAGAAAAGGAAAAAAAAAGGTGAGAGGGCGACACAAAAATCTGAGAATAAGAAGATTATAGGACTCATACAAACACAAAATACTAATTAATCAATTAATGAATAAATAATTCATTAATGTTGGGAGGAGTGACCCAGTACCAGCTACACAGTTACAGTAACATTAGTCAGTTTGTGTGCACGTCTGAATAAAACTTAGTGTGTGCTCGTGCATATGAATCACAGCTCGCACCTCTGTGGCAAGTGACACTAATCACTCTGCCCTCTGCAGTACAGAAACCACGAGTGTAAACTGAGTTGTCTGTTAGCTGCCAAATGCTATACAGTTCACTGTCTGCTTATCTTTCACTTGTTTCCCACTCCCAAGACAGCACCAGCGCCGTCACATCACATGACAGATAAACAGCTGTGCACACTGGTTATGGATAGAGACATAATACTGTAATACAGACGTCTGGGATGATAATCATTTTAATGAACTTAAACTGCAAATTTTTTTTTCTTGATTAATTGATTAATAATTTGGTCAATAAAACATCATAAAATAGAGGAAAATGTCTGTTACAGTTGAGGTGATGTCTTGAGATTGTTTTGGTTTGTTGGAAAACACAAAATATTATGACATAAGACGAGGAAAAGAAGCAGCTCCTTACATTTCGGAAGCTGGGACCTTTAAATGTTTGTAATTTCTACATGAAAATTTACTTAAACGATGAACCAATCATGAAAACAGATGTCAACTGACTGACTGACTAATGTTTTCAGCTCAGATTTGTTAAGAAAATCCCTCATACTGGACCTAAGAGAGCACAAAGTGATTATGTAAAAATACCAACCATTTGCCAGTTGCATCTTCAAAAACAAAGATGAACTTTGTTTTCCTGTTTTATATTATTATAATTGAATAACTACTTTTTGGCTGCTGATTAGACTAAGAAAGAAATAAAGCATCTTGCTCTGGTAAGTTGTGACAGACATTTGTCAGTATTTGAAATTTTAATTTGTTGAACAAAGACACACAAAAGGTTTAATTTGATACAGAAAATACTAAATCATTAGTTGCAGTTAGTGAATTTCCCCTAGGGGACAAATAAAGTATCTATCTATCTATATATCTATAGCAGGAGGAAAATAGAAGAACTGTACTCACTCTTTAATTTGGAGCGTACTTTGTTGGCCAACTTCTTGATGTCTGCCATAAGATCCTCCAGCTCAGCCTTAGTTTCTAGGAGAGGAGAGGAGAGGAAAGGAGAGATTACTGGGCTTATGTGAAACCAGACATAAAAACACACACTTGTACATGCTTACTCACTCACTCGCACAAAACTGTGTGGCAGCCAATTTCACAGAGACAGAATTAATACTGACACACAAGAAACGACTCTGTGTCGCTCCCAACAGGGACAAACAATTCATCAGCTTCAGTCCACAGCGGCACAACCCGCCCATCTTTGTTCTTTCTCTTTTGTAGAGTACCAGCATCCTTCAGTTCACTGTCCACTGTCCTCTTTCCATCCTGGCCGACACCCAAACACACACACACACACACACACACACACACACACACACACACTGTAGAGGCATAAAGTTGAAACCCATGTGGGTAGATGGGTACATGTGGGGGTGGACTACTAAGATTAGCTATTTTGGTGACCAGAGGAACAAGTGAAATCACCATGGGCCGCAGCACAATCTGGGCTACAACAGGATGAATGGATTGTTACCAGCAGGAAAATGTTATCAGGAGAAACTGGGCAGATTTCAATGATGACTAATCAAAGCAGCAGCTCTCCTCGAGCTTGACATACTGACAAGTTTTCCAAATGGAAATTTTTCTTGTCCAGAAGGCAAAACTGCAAAAAAAACATGCAGCAGTAAGAATAAGTGAAGAGAAAAGGTCTTTCATTGAGGTGCCGACACATCTTGAGGAGACCTCTTCTGCTCCCGATGATTTGCTTTGTATAAAAAAGGAATCAGTGAGGAGCACTGTACCGGTACGGTGTAAAGCACACAAGTTTTCACATTTAGTATTTATTAAGGGCATGCTTGCAACAAAGTTTGTATGCTGTGTTGTCCAAACATGTCTGAAGGCTAAAGTATTGATAACCGTTTACACACACTTGAATGCAGTGCAAAAATCCTGCCGTCATAGAAATGGGTGAGACACGATAATTGTTCAAACAGGGATAACAGTGAACACAAACTCTAACGATTAATCAACGACTTAATTAACAAACACTTAATCTGCAATTATTTTATAATTGAAAGCGCTTTATCAATTTTCAAGCAAAAATGTCAAACAGTCAATGGTCCCAGCTTCTCAAATTTGAGGATTTGCGGCTTCTGTTATAACCGAATATCTCTGAGTTTTGGCCTGTTGTTCACCTTCAGCTGTGAGAAATTTTAATGGGCATTGTTCACTTTTTTTAAACACATGAAAAGTGACTGAAGTAACTGTGTGAAGCATGAAAAAAGAGAGCCTGAGAAGAGAAGTTTAAACCTGTACTTTCAAACCTCTGCACAGCTGACCAATCATTTGCATTAAGTGGGGGGAGGGGTGTCAGATTGTTGGTCGGCCACAGGTGTGGCAGAAGAGGCATTCGGATGCTGTCTGATGATCCGACAGACACCTTGCATGAAGCAGCTGAGCCTAAACTAGACCTTCTTTTGCTGTGCTGTTATAATGGTTGTGGGATATGTGAGAGGCAGGACGTTTTTGTCAGTGATTAAAACAAACCTGTAGCCGCACAGGAGAAGACAGTTTTTCTCATCAGTGCAATCTTCAAAGGGCAGCAGCACTGAGGGATGGTTGGAGTGGTTGTCACATCATGCACCCATCTTGAAGAAAAATCGACTTATTCTTTTAATCTTTTCTCCCTTCTGTTGCTCATTACAGCTACAGCCAAACCAGCAGTTTCATAATCATATTTCACAAAACACTTCAAGTTATTACACATGGGAGACTCTGAAATAACATTTTATCTGATGCTGTTGGTCAGGCAAAGAATTACAGTTTGCTGCATTTATCAGCTATGTATCAACAGACGGGTACACGGCTGATAAATGAACAAATCAAACTGCACTGCGCCCTAATTTTAACAAAATTAACCTTTTATATTCTCTCATTATACTTTCTTTACAGTAGCTCTGCAACAAACTAACTAATAGTATATTAGTAATATTTGTAGGTATTCGTAGGTGTATTACGTTTCATTTTGGTGCAAAGGCCACATTAAAAAAAGAAAACAGAACGGCTTTCACACAAAGTCTCCCTCACACATTCTCCCTGGAGCATTACTTGCCATTTTTAGAACATTGCAAAGGAGTGAGAAAAGCATTTATCATCTTAATGCCATAAGAAAACCAAATCTCCATATGTTAACAAGCCCCTGGGAAGCCAGCAGACATAAGACATGCTCCTTTAAATCAAACTGTTCAATCAAACTGCCTGCAGAACATCATGGGAAAGAGTTTGTGCATGTTACCTGCTACTTTTAAGCTGCATAAATCACAAAGACCAATAACAAACAGGGGAAAGGTGTGGGGTGTGGGGGTGGGGGAAGGTACAGAAACTCATAGTAAACATCTGCACCAAATAACAGACACAGCCACAATGGATAATCTGATTACACAGTATGAGGAAGACTTCAATCACTGCTAGATGTTCAATTACTAAAAAATAATACTTGCACATCTTTTGTGATAAGAAAGAAGCTTAAAAACTATGAGATAATTATATCATCTCATTCTCTGCAGCTGCACAATAGATCTACACCACATGAATGCTCTTCATAGCAGTTTGAGATGTCACATGTTGATGATTGAAAACATGGCTGGGCACACTGAGCTGGAAACTCATAAACACAAACAGACAATAAAAAGCGGAGGGTCCATTATGATAAACTGGGATAAATCCTCTAACCAGTTTGTCTGATAACATAAAACTACAGCAGCTCAGTGGAGATGGTGAATGTATTACAAACTAATCAGCAAAGCTCTACAAGCTTTTAATCTGCTTAACAGACATATTTCCCTATCAGCAAACATCAGCCTGTGGTACATCAGGCTCAGTGGGACAAAGCGGTGGACATGCAGAGCGCTAACTGCTGAAATTACATCATTTTATATCCAGATGCAAAACACAGGCTCATTTAAATGTAAAGGAAAGTTGCAATAACATGGTAAGCATCCTAAATCCATAGGACATATGATGCCCAGTGCTCTTGATGTTTTCTAAGGCCACTTCATGGTTCTGTAATCTGTTGACTTCTGTTTGCAGCCCAAAATTTGACTCCATGTTAACTGTCCACACTGCGAGCGCACAGACAGACTGCACATGCCCAAGAAAAGTGTACTGGATGCTTATTTCATGCACAACATGTATATTGTTTCTTTAATTCTCCTTCGTCCTGCTCTTGTTAAGCGGTTGCACACACTTTATTTGACTTAGGTCGTTCAGCCAAATACAATGAACAAAGGAGCACTTCTTCTTGCTCTCTGGAGATCACCTTCATGTTTTCTATAGTTTGCAAGTGTGGAACGCATACACAGTCCTCGTCCGCATGAGGGCAAGTGGGAACCATGAACTAGAATCTAAGGGTATCCTGTTGAGTTTTTGACAACTAGTTTGACAGGCCTCAAAGATACACACAAAGCTGGTTGGTGAGAAGAAAACTCCACAGTTTTTTTTTTTTTACATTTAAGTAATGTATAGGAGCCATCACATAGAGGAATGAAAAGCAGAAGTGTGCAGCTGAGTTAGAAAGAGAAATGTAATGCTATAGTAACATGACACCAGGCTCAAGAAGGATGTACAGAGATGACAATCCAATTGGAACAAGGGAGGAAATGAACAGTAATTAAATCAAGTATGTGAAACATGGGGATATCAAATACTACAGAAAGAACTCAATATTTTTTTTTCCACCAATAATTCCAAAACAAACACTCGCAGCATAACCATCTCCTTGGTATGTATTTGAATACAATTTTATCTCTGGTCAATCATTTTCCTGCCAATGGCAATATGTACGCAGCATACAGTGGGTTTGTCAGGGTCAGACAATGATCTGAGGTGGTGGGCTGAAGCCCTCAGGGCAAAATGACTAAACAGTGCTCTGTGGTGTGTGTGTGTGTGTGTGTGTGTGTGTGTGTGTGTGTGTGTGTGTGTGTGTGTGTGTGTGTGCGCAGAGCTAGAGTTGCTTCAAAATTGTAATGAGTTATCAGGCACAGAGTACCTGGTTAAAACTGTAATTTGATTACTTGGTGAATTTAGATACTTTTAAATTACTCTGGATGATGGATTTCTTTTTCCTAACATTGTTTTGTGTGTAGGCCTCTGTGTCCTCTTGTGCACGTTTGCACAGATTCAGAAACTGGTAGAGGTGTAAGGTTATGGAAAAGCAAGCTCTCTCAGTTGTGTAAGTAACCTCTGGTAACCTCTTCCTCGAGGTAAGCTGGACTGGCTTCACAGAGACAATAAAACAAAACTGAACTCAGTTTTGGGCCATGCGTGGAGTGTGTGCAAGTGTCTGCGGTATGTGTGTGTGTGTGTGTGTGTGCGGTATGTGTGTTAAGGAGCTAGATTAGATTTCCCCCTCGTGGTTACCAAACAGAGGAGGCCAACCTGCTCGATCAAGTGTCTATTCAGCCTCATTATTGGCTGTCTGAAAAGAGGAGGAGCACAGACACTGATGAATAAGTAGAGGGAGATGTGAGAGGGAAGCAAATTAGAGGGCAAAACTGAGGAGTCAATTGAGCTGTGGCTTCACACTCCAGCCCTCTCCCAGAAGCTCTCAAATGGAATCTTCAGGTCACGCTTGTTGCCATCATTAAGACTGTGTTGCTATGGCGATGTGTGTGCAGTCGGTCCTCTCACCAGCATCAGATTCAAAGTGGCAGAGGGAACGAGAGAGCCAGAGAGCGAGAGAGAGATACGCCACAAGGGGGAAGAAATGGAGGATATGTGGAAGCAAGAAGATGGTTTTCTAGGACTTTTATTCCAGTGTAATAACTGTATTTCTTTTTTGAGGTTTACTTTCATGACCTTTTTGCCTTTACTTCAGAGTTATGAATTAAGACAAGAGGGAGAGTGGAAAGAAAATTCCAGGATAAATCTGATGATATTCTATATTTTTACTGTCACAAAAATAAATGAAATCAACAAAACCAATGAAGAATTTATACTACAAACACGAACTGCCTGTAGCTAAAGTCTGATATAAC